GCGTAAGAATAAATATTGTTAAAAAAAAATGAATATTTGACGAAACTTTAAAATCGGATTTTTTAAAAACAAAACGTATGAAAGAAATTTTTAAATTTGCATTTTGTATATATAATGTTATATATCTAGAAGAAATAGGATACAACGTATAAGGGGAATCAATTTCTCTTGCTTGTGTAATAAATTTAAAAAAAAAAAAAAAATAAGAAAAAAACATGAAAAAAACATGAATGCCTCGTCGTGAAGCAAGATGAAGTATCTTCGGAGATATATAAATGGCTTATTGTTTAGACTCATTACAGATAATAGCCGAGCGCAAAAAGATGTTATCGTTTCTCCTCTCGCAGATTTATCTGCACGGCAACAATCTCAGCACGCTTCACGAACACCTGCCGACGGACATCCTGCCGGCGGAGCTCGGTGGAACAGGGCCAGCCTTCAACCCGGGATTGTGGGCCGAGCCGGTCATCCACTCGGCGATGAAAGAGGCCGAGCTCGCCGCCGCTGCTACCAAAAAGGGAAAAGAGCGGCAGGTCGACGCGCAAGAACCGGCCAACCTTCGAGACGGGTCGGAAACCGCAAACGGAAATCATCAGAGAACCGATAGCTCGAACGTGCCGGCGAACGCGGACAAAACATCCCTGAACAACTTTGACAATCCCGCAAAGCACTCTTCCGGGAGAGCGGCGCAAATGGACGTGGAGCTAAATGTGATAAATAAGCGATCGATTGAACAAAGAGAAACGACGGAACTCGCGACAAGAAACGACGAGGATGATGTCAAGGAACGACTGCACGTCGGACGAGTTAGTAATGGAAACGTGGACGAGCAGCCCAGGGATACGAATGATTTAACGTTCCTCGACACAGATGTCAACTTGAACGAATTTGAGATGATCCCCAGTAGGTCCTGCAGCGAGAGCAGCAGGGACAATTCGCTGGACAATAGATTAGAAGGAAAGGCTCTCATTACTGCCGGCAACAACGAAACGCCATCGGAAGAGACGAATCTCATAACGTAATACTGATCTCTGTAGATCTATAAATATTTGTAATGCTTGCTAATAGAAATCTGTTTCTTCCTGTCAAAGGAGGTTTTTTTTACAAGCGACGCGAATCTGTGGATAACGGTTCGAATAATCTCGGGACATTGTAATTTTATGGATAATGGCAACAGATTTACTTACAAGCTATTCCTTGTAGTCTAAGTCTCTAGGATATATAATTTGGTCCGGTGCTTTTTTGGTTACGGATTTCCGCTTCCTTGGAATATATATACAACCAGGATGTAAAATTTTTATATTGATCTTATAAATATTATACACCTATACAGAAGTGAGTATTGAAAGCGCACTTCTTGAGAACTAGATATTCTCTAATGTTTTTATTCTTGAACTATATTTATAAAACGTAAAAAATACTAAATTTTAAATGAAGTTAAAAACAAGAACAAAATACAATTATATTCTGTTTCTATTACAGTTCTTTTGCTGAGCATGTTTATTATAACTATAACAATTATTGAAACTATGGTACCTGTTTTACAAATCCATGTATAGGCAGCTCTTGTTATAAGAAATTAATTAATATCAGAAGGACTGTAATAGACAAGGGCTGTTTATGGTATCTCATCATTCTTATTTTAATACAGAGATCAGAAATGTTTCCTAATTTGTAATGATTGAATGTCTTTAAATGAGAATTGAATGAGTGAGTGTGAACGATTTCATAAAAAACACATTAATATCATATATACATTCACAAATAATGAATTTATGCGATCGTACTTTGTACTTTTAGTAGCAAAATAAATATTTTCGATACAATTTATATCTTTTTCAAGTGAATATATATACAAATATTTTAGTATATACGAATTAAAATAGTTTTCTTACGTTACAG